AAGCTTGCACATTGCCGATAGATAGCTCGTGCAGCGAGAACAATGTAGTTTTGCTAAATTTGTTAAATAAGCAATCGCGGATGCGTGCAGTTCTGAATTATTCTCGCTCTGCAATGCTAGATTGAGTACTTCACAATTGTGCAATGTCGTGTCGACAGGGTAGGCACTAGTTTTAATTCTCAGCCGTGAGCCCATATCATAGGTAATATGTATTTAGATGAAGGGCCTAAAAATATTTCAGGCTAGCTACATTTATTGTTAGAGTTAAGTTACACAGTTACTACAGCTAGAATTTCTCGTCGCAAGTAATGACCGGTCTGCAGCGAATGTATGCTAAAGGAACAGTTAAGAGGTGTGTGCTTACAGATCGAAAGGCCCAATTCTAAGAAAATAGGCTTTAGGCATGCATTGTACAATTTTGTTGTTTGTACATCTTTGTTGGTGCTCTTACAGTACACTATCTGCTCAGCCCTTAGCACAACCTCTTTTTTTAATAGACATATCGATAGAACTTGAGCACTCTCTTGTAAGCAAGCATTCCTGAAATCAATTGGTGGTACGTGATGTGAATCTGTCCAAATACTGGATGAATAAAGGTCACATTTATTACACATTGGTTATTGTGTTCACTTTTTCATTATAATTGTGCTTGAAAACTGAGGTTGTTTTCTTCTGCTACCTTAAAGGTTAGGACTTGAAAAACGTACTATCTTGCAGTATGGCTGTGGATAAGTCGAGATCATGTATGCTTCAACTACCTGTGCGATTTTCTAGATTTTTTTTATGGCGGTAGTGCACAGAATTTCACTTTATAGTGGTAGACACTATAGTTATGACAACTTAATTTAAACAGAAGCAGATGTGCTCAAAGAAATCTGGGATGTTTCTCTGCTATATGAAAAAAAAAAGTAACACATCCAATGAACACAATCTTGCTGTTTACGACGTCATTCACGTCTTTGAGGAAGCTATGCTGGAAGTGCTCATCACCTTAATGATTTATTATTTTAAGAGCACATTGATTATATGTGCAAAGCTAAAGCAATTGAGTGCAGCCCTATGAGCTTTGGCACATCTTTTTTGTAAACTTGTATGAGCTAAACACAGTTAATTAAGTGAAAACAGTTCTGGGTGTTGTTCGTACACTGTCACAAGGCACAACTAAATGTCGGAAAGCCTGTTAATGCCCCTCACTGCAAGGGTGTTCATTTAGTAATGCCATTAATAATTTCTGACGATTCACATTCCAACTACAAATTGATCATGAGTTGTACAGTAGTGGGCAAATTTAGATTGATTCTGGCTTCCAGGGGTTAAAACAAATGACATCGTAGCCTCGCATAAGACAAGACTGCTTGTCGAAACATTTGCTCTGACACCTCTTGTTCATAGACTTTTCATGCTTTCAAGCTTCCATTTTTTAAGGGTCAGTTTAGTTCACCTGCACCAGTGGGAACTGGTTCACACTGGTGCAGAACTCGTGCTGCAAAAGTTCAGAACTTTTGCAGCACGAGTTCAGCAGTGCGGCATCACAAGTGAATGACAAGGTGCCGACAAAGGTAAATCCTTATTTTTGTTCGCTTAATTTAATGAGGTGAAAACATCTTGGCAAAACACGCCGCTTTTGTAGAGGTCGGTCCGGTACCTACGTCTAATGCTATGTTGTTTGTTAAACTGTGTGTGCGGCTGCACTAAACCAGAGCCGTCAGAGTAGGAGGTAAAGAAAGATTATGAACTAGTTTTGGTGCTGTACCTCTCCTGCACTTTTTTAAATAAATGGTATGGTTTAGAAGATGACATTGCTGCACCACTGAAACGAATGGCGAGGTGCAGCACATTGTAAAATGGATCATGTGGTGCATGCAAATTGAACAAATTCTTAAGCACACAAGTGTATTAGCATTTCACCTGCATCGAAATATGGCCACTGTGGCTGGCATCAAACAGTGTGTTGTTGAGCTCAGCAGTGCCATACAATCTAACTAATAGTGTTACAGTTTCACCGTTATTGAAGTGTAGATTCCATGCCACGGTTGGCAGCCAATGCTTGTAGCCAATCTAAAGCACCCCTTACGGGTGCTTTAGATTGCATGTGTGAAGTTCGAGATGACCTGATGTAGTGGGCATACAGATGTTTCAACGTGTACATTCGGAAGTAGTCATCCTGTCGTTGCATGGCAGTCTGGAAAAACAAGTAACATCACCAGATATTAATGCATAAAATTTTCGAAATTAAACAAATGAACTCATTTAACTAGTAAACAGCAGTATTTCATACATATATGTAATGGTACCTCATAATACGTGTATCACTCTGGGCTGCTTCTTCTCAAGGCATGTCATGTAGCAGGTTCCTTGCCCATTGTACACAGCTGCTTCCATGTCAGGTGGGCCAGGAGGCTGTGGCAGAAAAAGAAGTATTTCTAATTTATGTTACACTTTCTTTGTCATACTATAGCAAAAGTACACCTATAATTATGCGATGTTTCTCAAATGCGCCTGCGGTAAACTATCAACTCCTAGGTTTTTTTGCACTAATATACGGGCTCTCTATGAAGACACGCGAGGCAACAGTGAAATATTTGCATTCTTTCATCGCAACCGTCTGGTTTGTGTTATCTGGCGATATAATATCATAAATAACTATTGAGTCAGCGACTCGTTCCCACGTGAAGGCAGGCCGCAAGTATCGCACGTTTTTCTGGTGACAGATTGAGACATTAAAAAATTTGAAAATTTAATATTGCAATGCGCTGCCACTGTGTGACGCCTACGCACTCATTGGCAAAAAAAACTACATATGTTGAAATGAACCAACTAGCCCAGCAAGCAACGGTCCTCAAAAAACTGAAGTGGTTTCTACTCACTAGTTCGGGCTTGCAGCGGGTGTTAATCCGATGAAAGCTTCAGCGGTGGCTTCGTTCCCCGGACGTCACTTGAATTCCCTTCGCGAAAGCATTTGAACGAGTCAAAATAAACAGAATGAGAGTGTGTCGGTTGGCAGAGGCTCGAAATATTCACAGCGAAACGAAACAATCCGAGACACATCAGAATGTTCCGCGAGCCGTTACCTGCCGTCGCAACCGTTGGCCACCGTATATTTTGTAAAAGAGGATAATGATGGCGATATGCTGCTACTGACCTTGAGTCAGCTGAAGCAAAAACTATTACAAAAAATTGATGACGCAGCACATGTTTAAGAAAAACTACTTGCTATAAGAACAAGTTGTTTTTTATGCGTAACAAAACGCAAAAATGTAGTATTTGATCATTTTATAATTGAAACTTGGCTCCTACAATAAAGTGCAATAGGGCGAGTGGCAAAGAAGGTTAGTAAATCCACTCTGGCTGTATGAAGCAAAAAAAAACGCGTCGTGGTTCATTTTTTCACCCCCTACAGGTGAGCACTTGAACTTGAGAGTTTCCAGGGCCCAAGATAGCTGGGGAACGAGGCGCCAGGTCGGAGGGCGCTCTCGATTCCCACAATTTTTCCACTCCTCGTCCAGTCTGCGCTTGCCCCGTCGCTTACACCGTAGACGCCTATATCCAAAATGTCAAATCTGTCATCTGCCTCAACTTTGAGTACTTGGTTTATGTGTTGGCTTGAGCGGCGCTTGCAGCATATTGCAAGATGGTTCGGCTTATTGCAAGCAAAGCATGTCTTTCCATGCGCTTTAACGCTGCCTTTGCGCATGCTCTTTGTTACACTGTTGGCACCTAAATCTTTTTTCATTGCGCTCTGCCCAATGAGCGTAGTCTACTTGCAGTGTTTCACTTGACCAAATAGTATTCTGTTGTGCAGAAATCTCGGCTGCTTTGCACATCTGCTCCGCCTTCTGTAAAGTTAAGCCCTCTTTTCTCGCAGCATCTTTTTTCTTATCTTCAGGTTATTTGTGCCAAAAGCAACCTGGCCTCTAATCATAAATTCTTCTAGCGTGCCACAATTGAATAGCTTCGCTTGTTTCTTTAGCTCTCGCAAATGTTGCTGCAACAGCTCTTCCTCGTTCTGCATTCGAAGGCGAAAAACGTGCTTCTCACAAACCTCGTTCCTTTGGATGACACCTCAAACTTCCGCAGCACTGTCTGGTAATCTTCATTGCTCTCACCTTGTTCCAACGAGAAGTTGTTGTAGACGCCAAGGGCATCTTCACTGGCAATGCTGAGCAGAATTGCTGTCTTGATAGATTCCATCCAGGGTGGTTTAGTGGGCATTGCCGCGAAGACATCTGCCAATTTATTCGTAAATTGCCTGACAGTTTTAGCTGTTCTGGAGGCTTGACGGTATCCATTTCAACTAGGCTTTACCACTTCTGACGCCATGTATCGTGTCTTTAAAAGAAGCAGACAGTCATGTTGGCTATAGCTGCGCCAACTAAGCAAAAAACAGCCCCTTCCAGCCTTTCTAAAGCGAGCAATATGAAAAGTGGGAACGGGAAAACATGAAGGAAAAACTTAGTGCAACGTATAAATACTGATAATCTGCAATCTGATACAGCTATTAACTCTCCAGAGTGACAAGGGACGAAATTGGTCCTTCCATAAAGAATAAGTTCAATATTATTTTCCTGCTTAATTATGCAATCAAAACGAAAACCAAGTTCACTCTTGAGCTACTGGGTGGTATGCAAAAAGTTAGTAAGATACTTAGTCAAATCTAAAATTATAATTTTTGGACCTGTGTCAGTCTCTCGTGGAATCACCTTGGAGTGATTTTGCCACATTGGTAGCTCCATTAGTGTATAGAGGCCGTGCATGAGCATAGTTAAATTTCACTATGCTAGGTTTTCAGTGGGGGCTTCGGCTGAGTGAGTATGACTGATTAATACTGTCACTCCCATCAACTTTGAATTAAAGGTAGAAAGTTTGGACGAGAACCTCAGCTGCCGTACTTATATGTTCCAAGAACATGAGCTGCAGTTTTTCCATGGGAGGAACTGTAGTAATTTAAGCTCTACCAGGTTAAATTCTGTGCTAATGGAAACGTTACCGATGTTCTGCAGAGTCGACATGGAGCAGCCAGTCCTTCATGTGGCGAACACGAAGACATTGGAACATTCAGGTGAGCATCAATTGAACCAGCTAACTGCCTTGAGCGCCGCTTGTATGGCACACTGCACTTTTATACAATGAGAAAATTTGCTGACTACCTCATGTGAAATTGAGCGCAGATTCCTGTTTGGGCAATGCCAAAGTGGTTTTCAAGCTTTGGCTTGGAGCACACGAAAACAGCCCATGCTCGAGTTGTACAGTCGAGCTCACATATAACGTTCCCACTTAAAACGAACTTTCGCTTAAAACGAACAATATCTGTGGGTCCATGAAAATATACATTGGTGCAATGACACAAAACCGCACTTACAATGAACGTCTCCGAGCGGTGCTGATCGGTTACAGCGAACAGAGTCGGCAGTCTGCCGACTTCCCAGGAAACCAATTTCGACCACCGGTCAGGCATCGGTGAGGTGCCCATGCATTCTTATTGTCAAACGCCGACCCCGCCTCCGCGACCATATAGTTGTCGCTCTCCCCAACCCATCGAGGAAAGAAAGTTGTTTCCTTCCTCCATGCCCCGACTGCTTTTTGTTACGCACCCCTCCATCCTTTGTCCCCCCCGCTACTCTGAGCACCCCGCATCACCAGACGAGGCCCGTGTTTTCACGCTGCCACAGATCTTTCGAAGACCAATCAGCTACCTACCCTGTTTTTGATCACTGGTACTGTCGTTGGCGTCGCCGGCCTGGAGTGACTAGACTATTTGCCAACATCGTCGGCCACCGACTGTATCTGATAGTCTGCGTCTAGTGCACGCGCGTACGCTACCCCACCGACTCTGATGATTTGCGATTCGTTTCATGTTTAGGACTTGTTCTCGCTCACTTCGCACTCGACTCAGCATGCCTTCCGTGTGCATGCGGAAGCGCGAAAACAGTTGTTAATTTGCACAGAATAAATTGCGAATTATCGAAATTCGTGAGGCCACGCAAACCCGCCTGCGCAACAAAACGATTTTCTGACAACAGCCGCCGATTCTTCGAACACAGGCACATGCACTAATTCAGGTGGCCATGCACTCTTTCCAAGTCTTTCTACGTGAGAGTTTCACGGACCTTTCAAGCAAGCTACCCAACCTGCCTCCTTCCTGTGTGTTTTGGTTTTCAAGGTCGCCCTCTCGCCGCATCCTCCCTTTATCGCAACTCCTTGCCCTTCTCTCGCAAGCCTGCTCTCTTCTCTTGATCACAACCCCTTCGTTCGTCTCAACCGCTCCGCGTTGCCCGCCACGCAGGCTCGAATTAGCTTCGTTTTTTGACTGGAAACATGGCCAGAGCTGCTCCACGCGTTCTAACAGGTGTGTCACGTGTGCGTGTCTTGCTCCCACTTGGTGTGCGTGTGTAGTCATGATGGCCGACGGGAGGACTAGCACGCTTTTTCCTGACGCTCAACAAAACGTCGAAACTGTGACCGCTTAGCTTGTGCGTAATCCGCGCGTTAGGTGCCGCGTTGCGGAGCGCTAGCTCATAGCTGTTGGCCACCTGGCAGCCAACTTGCCGCTTTGAGCGTCCCAGTATTCAGCTGTGGAGATAGTGAATATTTCGTGGGCGGCAGTGACAGCTACATGCGTGCAAAACTGTTTTCGCGAGGCCAACTTCGTCCCCGTAGGGCCCGATGCCGAGCCTCATGCTTCCAAACTGCGGCAGTGATTTGTGGCAGCGCATCGTCGACTCCGAATTGGGAGAGCGGGTGGGACATCTGTTGCGACGGTTTCATTGCAGTCGATGATGATACCAACACTGCGGAACCATGCATGGATTGATGCTTTGTGAATGAAATACGTGGCGAAAGCGATTAGAAGGAATCGGATTGCGAGAACGACGATACTTTGGAGCCAATGTCTCGTGCAGCTTATGCTACGGGCCTCGGCAAAATAGCACACTGCCGTTTTAAATGAACTCGAGACCACCCTTATTGCTTCTGCTCTTCGAAACACTTGCATCACGAACTTTTTGGGGCAAAAAAGTTTGTGTTTTCGCTCGCAACTTTTTTTAAAAGCTGTGTTTCATTTACTATGAACTTGGGTTACAGCGAACGGATGCCGCGTCACACTCAGGTTCGTTGTAAGCGGGCTCGACTGTATGCGCATTACTCTATGCAATGCAGGCGTCGTAAACCAATCGAGACCTAAATTGTCCCATTACGACAAGCAAAGCCAGCTGCAGTGCACATACCAGCTATGCATGCGCACAAGCTCTAAATGAGGGGCCACTGTGTGTGATCGAGGAAGGAAGTGAGGTTAGGGCTCGGGGTGCCAACTGTGCTCGCTCTTTCATCTTTCTCTTTCTATGACTTTCTCTGTCATTTTATGTCTTTATTCCCTATATCTATGGCTTTTTTCCTTATACTGTCTTCTTTCTCTCTGTTATTTTCATGCGTTACATTCACAGCTGCTGTGCACAGTGCTGTGGGTCTTGCCCTTGTGGCATGTATACTTGTTCGCGCAGCCACACGCGCTCTCGTGTAAGAAGCGCCTAAAATCTGCACCCTTAAGTCATCCACGTAATGACACTCTATTTTTACAAAGTTGCCAGAACATTGTTTTGGCAGCGTTCCAATACTAATATGCGAAAAGAACTTGCAGCTGCTTTGTGGGAATGCCTCAAGAACGAGGCCGTGTGAGCATGGAGGCGTTGCTGCATGTCACCACATTAGTTTGCCTCTATTGCTAGTGCAAAGTGCTACGTGCTCTGGTGGGAAATCTGCGCCAATTCCAAAGCACTGTGCCATACTGCTCCAAAAGGTGTCTCTTTTGTCTAAATTGCACCACTGCTGTGCGACAAGGTGGTTTTGGGACCGTAAGTAAAGTTGGCAGACTGCATAATGAGCAGTTATTATGTGATGGTCGCCATCTTGTATACATGCGCTACGGCATTTGTGTACTAGTTGTACTGCTGCAAAAGCACGGAATAGGGCAATCAATTATTGTGACTTCTGCGTGATTGCGGCAGTGCCTTTCTTGATAACCATTGGCAAAGAACGAAAGTTACCTGGTGACTACTGAAAGGCGTGTCAGTATGACTTGTTGCGGACAAAAAGCCTACTTGTGGGGCGTAGCGACGCCTTAAGCCTACTGCACACTTTAAATAGCCGGTGACTACCTGTGAGCGCTGAGGTTCCGATCGCTGCCTCCTCAACGGTACTGTGCTCAGTGTCCACTGCTTTACAGAAACGAAAGGAGCTCCTTGTTGCAGAGTTGAGTGTTGTGGATTGCGGGCATTGAGACAGCAAGCGTAGCACATGCTTTCATGAGGCGGCAGCCCAAACATGCCTCCGTATGCTGCCAGGAACGATAGAGCATCACTTGCGGAAATCTTGCATCATCACGTTAACTCAACAAGCTTCTCACCCTATCTGTGCACGGTCTGAAGCAAGCGGCTCTACACAGTGTGTATGCCAAGTAGGCAAAGCGCTGCACGCATTTAGCTTGTAGACGATTGACTCTTTGTGACCGTACCGCTTCTAAAAAAGAAAAGGAGTTTTTGCTAAGTAGCAGATCGCAGTGCACATTTATCGTGGACAGCCGATTATGTGTATTTCGTCGCTATGCCAGTCGCTGCGTTGACTTCATATCCCGGACCCCGCAGTAGTTTCAAAATGCTCTTTGGTGTCGCCAGTGCATGCCATCAGACGGTCTAGCAAGAATTCCAATAATTTATGAAAATTGGCAGAAAAAAAGAAATGGCTTTGCGGTGGGCACTTTTGGCAGTATTTGCTGGGGCACTATATTTATTCTTTCTTTAACGGGGATTGCGCAAGTCAAGAAACTAAAATTGGTACTTTGTCATAGACATGTGCTTGAAGGCAGGGGGTGGGGGGGGGGGGATATCATACATTGACATATAATAAGGGGGGGCGAGGGAGGGCGCTAAATCATCCCTATAGATTGACGTAATAGAGACGAGAGCGCTGCAACAAACGTCGCTGAAAGGGAACTCGGTGCACACTTATGTGCTTTGTGATTATACGTACAATGTTTAATGCACAGTTAGCCACGTTCTCGGCAGGTTCTCAACATGTATGTATAAATTAACGAGGTTTTACTGTAACAAGCTTTGAATTTCTATGTTCATGCATGTCATAGTGTGTGTACACAGCTATGAACTTCATGCTGCGCTAGCTTGTTTGTGCAGTAACTGCTTCTGTATATAATCTTACTCGTGTTCATTTTTCGTGCTTATTTTGCAAGCTTGCAGATTCTGTATAAGTGATTATGTAAACTGAGCGAAGTAAAGTGTAACTTTAAGGGCTTGTTTTCTTTGTTAGATACAATTAATGAGAACTAATAGTAGAACTTGTTTATGGGTGAGTTGGTGCCTCAGTTCGATCAACATTTCATAACTGGCGCGAAACAATGAACATGAAAATGAAGGGAGGAGAGAGACTGAAGAGCGCCAAATAACCAACTATTTATTGCTGGTGCAGGCCGAAAAACAGGTAAACTTCCACATATGTGCAGAGGCGTGGAAGAGTTTCCACAGACATGTCTATAAGTTTGGTGTCCATTTGTCTTTTTTCTCTGCTCATTTTCATGTTCCTAGTTTTGGACCAGTTACGAAGCGTTCAGCAGAGAAATAAGAGACAATAATGATGGGAAAAGCACAGGTGTTGTTATTAGAAGTAATTGTAATGCAAATATGGAGAATTGCCAATGTAATGCAAATGTGGAGTACAGTCGAGCCCGCTTATAACGAACCTGAGCATGACGTGGCATCCGTTCGCTGTATCCCGAAGTTCGTAGTAAATGAAACACAGCTTTTAAAAAAAAAGTTGCGAGTGGGAACACAAACTTTTTTATGCCCCAAAATGTCTGTGATGCACGGGTTTCGAAGAGCAGAAGCGATAAGGGCAGTCTCGTGTTCATTTAAAACGGCAGGGTGCTCGTTCGCCGAGGCCCGTGGCATAAACTGTATGAGGCACTGACTCCAAAGTTTTGTCGTTCTCGCAATCCGATTCCTTCAAATCGCTCTCGCCACGTACTTCATTCACAATGCCCTAATCCGTGCTCGG